GAGCTGCCTGGGACGCTGCAGCTTCCGCGACCCTCAGCCACAGTCTTTGATGGTTTCACAGTCCGGAGTTGTGGGGACGTCTCTTCCCCGCCCTGGAGCCCTGGGCTGGGGGCCTGCTGTGGGGCTGGGGCCTGTTGTGGGGCTGGGACCCCCCCCCTCAATCCTCCGGGAAACCCCCACCGCCGAGATGTCCCTCCGGGGTTTAAACCGCGGCACCGGGTGTGGGCCCGCAGCGAGTCTCCGATTCAGTCCCCACGCGCCTGCGTCTCCGCCCCTCCTCCCGGTCTCGGTGCTTCTTCAGCTCCCTGGTTGGGGGGCTTCTGTTCAGCCAGATCTCAGGAGGCTCTGAGTGATGGCGGTTCTGTATTGTGGTTGTAATTTTGATGTGGTTGTGGGAGGCGGCCGGTGCAGCTCTTACCTTCGCCGCCATCTTGTTTTCTCCCAAAGATTTTTAATTATTATTTAGATTTATATAAAAGATATGAGACTATGCACACTATTGTATCTGGGTACATTTCTGTACTTTATGGTTTTTGAGCAATCGATTCATTTCTTCTAAGTTGTTGCATTTCCTTATGGAGAGCCGAATGTAGCATTACCTTATTGCCCTTTCATATTTGCTGGATCTGTAGGAAAATCACCTCTTTCACTCCTGCTGTTGGTAACTTGGTAACTTTTCTCCACCCCACCCCGCATCTGCTAGAGGTTTATTAATATTATCGATCCTTTCAAAGAACCAGTATTGATTTAATTGTGTTTCTCTATTCTTTTCTCTGTTAGAAATGTCATTGATTTCTGTTCTTATTTTTACTAAAATAAATTTGTATTTATACTTGCTAGTAATTTTTATTTCCATAATCTCAAGCAAACTTTTGACTATATGAACAGCCAGTGAGGATGAAGGTGAAAATTTTAAAGTGTGTGTCAGTGTGGTACAAATGCGTAGAACTGAGTAAAAGTCTACTTTTTGAAAGACTAGGAGCACTTATGAGAAGAGCGTGTGTCAGTCACACATTGATAGTTGTTAAAATTATGCTTGGGGATAGTTTGTAAAAAGTCAGAGGGCATTGGCACGGTTGACTGTGGCCCATCATTTCTCATTGCATGTCATATGGATGGAATAATGGATCTCATTTCTAAATCCCTTACCGTATGCCATCAGTATGCGGAGCTCTTGAGACGTATCATCCCATTTAACACACAGAAGGATCCTAGGAGGTTAGGCTCATGATTATCTCCATTTTACAGCTTGGAAACGGAAAAGCAGAAAAGTTAAGATGAATAATACTGGATTTCCTTTCTTCTCTTATCACCATTTGCTGCATTCTGGGTTCTTCTGGCGGCACATGTCCCTTGCTACCTTCTCCTCTTTGGAACCTTCATCTTACCTTCATGTCCAGACCCAAGGGCCGCCTGGAGCTTTGAGCACAACCTAGGCCTCCACGGATCCACTCCGGGAATGCAGCCCAATGTGGATTTCTGCATCTTCCCCGATGACCTCTGAAGAGACTTCCCAGGAAGTCACAGCAGCCTCCCTCCCTTCCTTCCTTCTCAGAGCTGCTAATGATGGACCTCAGTGACCCGAACCCCATTCCTGGCCCCACCGGCCCTGCCCCTCTACCAGAGGGGCTCCTCCAGCAGCGGTACAGAGATGGGAAAACCCTGCCAGAGAGGCAGTGGGAAAGGTCAACGTCCCCTCAGAGGAAGAAAACTTTTCTTGGCCCTGTGAGAGGGTGACACCTCGATCGCTTGGCACCTTATCGGGTTCAGAGGGAAGCCAGAATCTCTTCATCCAGTGATAGAGATCAGAATCGATTTAGATGTGGATGTGGATACTGCCAGAGGCACAAGTCAAATGCTTGCGGGACACTTGCGGAGAGGAACGGGGCCCCACATCCTTCCTCCTGGGAAAGCCTCATGCAGGGCCTCAGTGGCTTGACCCTCAACCTGGGTGGCAATCGGCCCGGCCTTCTGCCAGAAGGGCTGCCCCAACAGCAGCAGGGAGAGGAGATGTGCAAACTGGAAAGGCAGCAGGAAAGCAAAAGAATGTTCCAAAGGCTCCTGAAACAGTGGTTAAAACAAAACTGACAGTCTCACCTCATATGGCGGAGACCTGGACGGTTTCGACAGGGACGCTGGAGTTGCCGGACGCTGGGCATGGACTCTTTTTGGGGACCAAACAGTAAGCCGTAGTCGGAGGAGGAACTCAACCGGTTTTGACCAGAAATCCCGTGAGCATGTGTTGATCTGATCCCAGGAAGATCATGACCTTTCCTGCCAGGAATAAGACCGGTCTGGGGCATTCTGAGGCCAGGGACACTGCATATAGGTGGTCCTCAGCTCCTATATCCCAGCTCCCGTGATGCATGGTGTCCCTCTAACACCCCAGATCTCTGTCTTTCCTCCACGTGCTGATCTCCATGAGATAGACAGTGTCTCTGCAGTGTGAATGCCCACCCTGGTGGTGCCCATTGCTTTTGTGCCATTTTATTGACTGCCTCCAAATAGCAGCCCCATGAGCACTAGAATGCATGTGTGCTAATATGAGATCAGTTTCAAGACTCTAAGGCTAAAGAAAGCGTGGAAAGCAGATGTGCAGCTGGAACGCGGTGGCTGACCTTTGCGTTCTTTGGGTAAGCCATGCAGCACAGGAGCCAGATGCAGGGAGACATTGCCCTGCTCCTAAACATTGAGCGGCATTCCTCCTTGGAGGAGTGTCTGGTGGACTACCTCATTGTTGGTACCACATAAACATACGTATGAAAGGAAACTGCCTTTAGAACTCAGGTTTGTTCATCCATATTGGTTTGTTCTTTGTCAGATCTGAGATCATTATATATAAGTCCCAGAGCAGCAGATCTGGATTAGGGGAGGAGGGAGGAGTACAGAGAACACGGTCAAGTCACTGTTGGCAGCCCTGCAACAGGAACAGCCTTCAGATCATCCGGGCGGAGCAATGGAAGAGTCCTGCTGTCCAGGGAGAGTTGGAAGCAGAGTCCGTGCCCACAGTACGGGGTCCTGGGAGCTAGTGCTGGTGCGCTTGGACTAAGGCTCCAGGGGCCGTTCCCTGGTGCCTGGCATCCCCGGGTTCGTGAATGTGAACAGCATTTCATGCCTGCTGCATGAGAACCAGAACAGCATTGAGTTATTAAGAGTCGGGATTTGGACATACTACCTTTTCATTTCAGGAGGCACGTACGAATGGTTAAATCTACTTTTTCCCCCACAGAACCTGATGGCATGTACCCAGGCAGTGACGGTGCAGCTCATCTGAAGTGAAGTGAAAAAAAAGTCTGCATTCTGTCAGTGGGTTTTCAGGTGGCCCCAGAGCTGTATTGCTGCAAACATGTACGCATCTGCTGCAGACAGAAGTGGCTTGAGAACAGGTACGTTCATTAGATTCTGAACTTGTGATCTCATCTGAGAGCTCCATGGACCCTGCCAGGCTTGTCTCATAACCCCAGGGGAGAAGATCAGTAGAGCGGGGCCCATCTTTCTTGAAACACAAAGGCCTAACTGCAGCCTGGTGATTTGGGCTGTGTTGTGAGCAGGGCTAACGTGGCATTTCACTGTCATTGGTCCTTTGCTAGGTGTCAGATAATATGCTACACATGTCAGTTTATTTCATCCTTTCCCACAGACCCATCATTGAGCAAGATTTCCATCCCAGTGTATGAGGTGGGAAGCAGAGTACAGAGAAGGTGGGACCATGCCCAGCTGGCAGAGGTCAGAAAGGGATGGCCTCACTCCAGCAGCCACACCAGGTCAGTCCTGCCAACCACAATCAGTCGTTTACCACCCGTGAAGGTTTCCACTGTCTCCCTTTGCCTCCCCCCAGCATGCTAGGCTGGCTGTTGGCATGGGCAAGAAGAGGAATCGCAGAGCAGGTTCCTGCCCTGGGGAATTGAGCTTTTAATCAGGGAGAGAGATCTGACACCCTTAGATGTGGTAGAGAGTGCATCATGGTCCCCTGTGAGGCTTGGTGGCCAGGAGAAGAGAGGGGTGAGTTGGAACTACTGACTTTTCTACATCAGGGCACACGGACAATGGGTGGGCAGGGGTAACCTAGGGAGTCGGCAGCCACCCCCTGCCCACCTAAAGGCTCTGTCCGCATACCCAAGTATGGGGTGTAGGAGGAGATCTGGGGTCACACCTGAGACAGCATGCTTTCCCAACTGACAGACTAGGAACCGGGATCCAGTGATGCCCAAACATGCCCAGCGTGTCAAGTTCTAGACCAGGGACTGAGCCATGGCCACCGGGAGGCAAGAAAATATTGGGAGAAATGTAGCACATGAGCCAGTTGATATGAAATGCCGAGAAAAGGTAAATGTAGAGAGACAGAAATTGGATGAGAGGCTGCATGGGCCTGGACGTGGTAATGGGGATTGACTGCTAACAGGAACATGGGATCTCTTCCGGGTGATAAAAATGTTCTAAAATTGCATTGTGGTGATGGTGGCACAACTCTCTAAATTTACTAAAAGCCGCTGCATTGGACACTAACTGTACATTACACCTCAATGAAGCTATTTGCAAAATGTAATGCAAATGTCCCAGTCAGTCATGGAGGGCAAGTTGTGCCATTGGCCCTGCTCCTTCTGTGCTCTGGGTCCTGCCTGCATGACCCATCATCGCCTGCCTCCTGCACGTGTCCTAGATGCTCCCACCAGAGGGAGGCACTGTGCAATAAGGCCAGGAGGAGTGCTGGTGACTGCGTGTGTCTGGGCGTGTCTCACTGAGTCTCCGTGTGTTCGTGCACAGGCGCCCTTCGGGGGGACGTAATGGTCGAGTGGCAATTCCACGGCGAGGGCAGCTCCCACAATCCATCCTGCGCCTGGAATTCCACTTAGGTGTTTTCTCTTCTTCACGAGTCCCACAGACCCAGCTTCTCTTTCCCTGGCAACCAACCTCTGCCCTTAGCTTCAAGCTCTGATCACAGGAAGACACACAGAGTGGGGAGGGGTGCCGGCCCCTTCATAGAGCCCCCTGCCCCAGCTCAGCGACCCAGCGGGGATGCGCGGCATAGCGGTAACCAAGGCGACAGATTCTAGCTGCTTTTCCACCAGCCTGGCCCTTCTCCCTCCACTCTGCCTGCCTGGTGTCAGGCAAGCAACGGGGCGTTATGGCATAAACTCCTCAGTCCTTGAAATTGTTCTAAATATGAGTGTGATGTAAAGTAAGTATTCCATAAGCTGCTCTCGAAAGACAAGACACATCACACAGTTTTTAAAATTTCTCAGTAATAGCAAACATGGCCGTAAAGTCCAAGATTCTGAGAGCAGTACAGGTGAGGCAGAGCGTGTGCTCAGGCTTCCTCACTGCAGCTGTGCCTCCAGTTGCCCCGGGAGCGTCCTTCAAAGAACAGATGCTGGCGCCCGGCCCCAGAGGCTGAATTAGTAGGTCTGGAAGGTGGCCCCAGCAGCAGCATTATTGGGCACTTCTCCTGTGAACCCTAGGTTGCCCCTGTCAAAACAGAACCATCCTTACCGGAGGAAACCTAGCACTGGAACAGTGAGACTCCTTTACAAAGAAAGCAGGTTCTCATCGTTACCTGCTGGGCTGGGCTGATCCCTTAGGATGAGGAAAGGAAAGCACATGTCAAAGTGAATGTGTGTTCGAAAACCCCCTTTGTACTTGCTGTTCTCCGTGTTCCTAAAGCCAAAATCGTAAAGGTAAAACCTCACATTTGCTAATGAAACGTACTACTTTTTATTTCTCGTCGAGATCCCTTGTGTTTACTTACTTTAAAAGTTTGTAAAACGTAGAGAGGACTCAGAGAAAGGTCACAGTAGTTCTGTGAGAATTACAGATGGCTGACATTTCCACCGGTTCATGTAGAAGGATCAGCTGTCAGGTCTTTCCACTGCATTTGTGGAGTTACATTTTTCACTTTTTATTATAATTTATGTTTTCCAGTTAACTCATGCTCTCAGGGAAAGACCAAATAGGTCAGGATGTTTATGATGAAAAATAAAACTGAGCAAACCCTTGTTCCCTGCATAGCCCTGGACACTCGCCTCAGCAAACGTTCTCCTCCAGCCATGATGGGCTGACATTGCCGTGTCCTGATTCCTTGAATGTAGACAATGCCTGTTGAGTGCTTGTAGAAGATGAGAATTTCAGTGTGTCGGGAAAATTACAGGGTACAGGTTCTCCTCCGACTTCCTGTGAGGGACCCAGCCAACCCAGGACATAGGCCCCTGCACAGGACGTCTTCAGTGACTGCCAAGAAGGAGACCTCACAGGGGAATTTAGGAACATCTCTGGCAACATGAGGGTCATGGTTTAGCCTTTTCCAGAGCAGGACAAGGGGAGTCATGGGGCAATGGAGATAACACCTAGTGGCATTCCTAGGACATGGGTGGATGGCAGTGCCCACCCATGAGACAGGGAACATAGCTTTCGCGTCACCTGTAGATTTGCAGGCCTTGTGTGACAACTGGGGGGAAATGCCCATAGGCCTCAGCCTGTAGGGGCTCTGGGGCCCAGCTGAGATGGCTTAGGTAGACTTGGTGATGGAACAAACCATCAGCATACTAGGGGATACAGATGAAGAGAAGTCAGATAGGTAAGAGCTCTGGGAAGCTCTGGTCACCGAAGGATCATGTGTAGAATGAGAAGAGCACAGGGCAAAGATTGGAAACTAGAGATGGGTGTTGGGAGTGAGACTATTTAGACAGGGATCAAAGAGAAAGTACCAACAGAGACCTAGTCTGAGAGAGAGGAGGAGAGCCAAGAGAGGCTGCTGTCACAGAAACTGAGAAAGGAGAGCATTCTGAAGAATGGAATGTTGACTGCCCAAGGCAGCATTGGGTACTTTAATTTGGCAACATGGAGCTCTTTGGAAAAGTTAGCAAGGGAATTTTCCATAGATGGGGACACTGAGGAGGATCCAGAGGTGACCAAATAAGGGTGTTACTGGAGTATACACTATCAGGAAGCTTGACTTGAACCCAGACACGGGTATGAGAAGCAGAGGCTGTGTGCTTTCAGTGTATAGTATGTCCCCCATAACGAGAGAGGACACCACAGGTTGTAGGCACCAGAAATCTCTAAGGATCCTGAGGATGTTGAATAGGTGACAGAGTGTTGGAGAGTTCGCGTGAACCTCAGAGTAGATGCTTTAAGGTGAGGAGGTAGGAGCAGGGGTTTCAAGCAGCACTAGGTCTGCAGGAAGACCCCACCCTCACTCCTACGCCATTCTTACCTCTGTGACGCACTGAGCTATGGGTTGGGAGATTCAACATCTTCCAAGTAAAAAGCCTCAATAGGTGGTGAGAGGGAGAGCAAGACTGAGTTAGGCTGTGTGCTTTCAGGGTATGGGATGTCCCCCAGAAAATGGAAGGATTGGGAGGTTTGGGCCAAGGTAGCATAAGAGGGAAGGTGAGTTATACTGAGATGAGGGCAGGGGATGCTAGGACATGGGTTTGGGGTGATGGCAGGAGCTGGAGACATGGGCATTTGAATGGCCCAGAGATTCACACAAAATGTCTTCTGCAAAGACATTTCTTGTTTCAGGAACACAGAGGAACAGGAAGCTATGAGAACATAAAAGGAGTTTACCTTCTCTGTGTCCTGGACTTGGATGGACTTAAAGCATTTGTAAATCTAAGCCCTGGTAATGAGATTGACCTTGATCACTCCTATCTGGTGGTGATGAGGCTGTGCTCTGGGGTCCCTCAGATGAGGAACAGAGGGCCGGGCCATGGAGCAGTAGAAAAGAACTCCCCTGTGATTCTGGCCCCTGCAGAGGTGGGGTATCCATCTAGCTTTCAGATGACAGCAAAGGGGATGCAGCGCCAAGGTCCATGCGGGTTGTTGGAAGTGGAAGAGAGTCACAGATCTCAGGCCACCGTGAGATAACTGGGGGCATGTGCTCCCTGGTGAAGGAGCAGGGCCCAATCCACTGAGATTTCTGCCATTGCTACCTGGCCACAGTCAGGCACTATAAGAACTCAAGGTCTTTATGGGGGAATCCCGTCCGTCTAAAACTCCTTAACCCCTGTTTGGGGGGTAAGGTAGAGAAGGACCAGATTTGAGACAGCAAAAGATGACAAAAGCAGATGAGGAGAGGCCATGACCATGAAAATGGAAGAACAGAGACGTTCCCACTAGTTGACTGCATTAGGTCACCAGGTTGAGACCNCACTTTGTCTCCTTAAGATGAAGGGGGTAGAAGGTATGATTTTCTGAGGTGCAGGAACCAAATGGGGCAATGGGATGAAAGGTCTTCTAAGTCACGGAGCCCCATGTACAGTGAGCCTGTCACCCCTGACCCCGTTTCTCACATGTAATTGTTGGGTCTGCAGTATTCAATGGGCTCTCCTCTGTGGCAAACGCACTGAAGGGGCCAGGGGCACCCGAGGTGCCCAGAAGTGGACACCTGAGACCTGCCCATCACCAGGAGGGTTTGATTGCTGCTCTCCCTGGACAAAAGGCAGTGCCCCTGCTCAGGGCCCAGTTGTGTAGGAGACGAGAGCAGAGTCCTCCTTGAGGAGGAGGTTCCCTGAGGACACAGCAGGCTGAGCAAGAGATCTTGGGACATACTCTGGGTCTGTCAGCAACTACTGCGATTCTCACCCCAGCCTCTCAGCTCTAGGGAGGACTCTGGCACGATTTACCTTCTAAAGAAATAAGAAGGAAAACACCGTCTTCTCCTCATAAAAATACTGACTTTCTGCACCTTCCCGCAGGCTTCCTTTCCTGGGCCTGGAAACCTTTTCCTGAAGCCCAGCTCCAGAACTCAGGCCTTGGAGTGAAGGCCCCTGTCGTTTAACGGACAGGAGCCTGGCATGGCCTGTGGAGGGAAGGACGGCCTTGCTGAGACCCTGCTCGCCTCAGTGACAACCCTCATCAGCTCCTCCACTCGGTGAGTCTGGCTGGGCCTCTCCTCTTGCTGTGATGTTTTAGGGGTCTGTTGATGGCATTCTAGATAAACGTTGTCCTGGGTTAAAGGCAGGAGGACGCAAGGACCCCAAGGTCCCCTCTCACAGGGACAGATTGGAGGTGGGCACAGGAGGAGCATGTGGGGACCGTGTGCTGACATCCCAGATTCACGGGTGCCCCTCAGATGCTGGGGCCCTTTGGTTTGTTTATTCTGCCCCACTGTGCTGATCTTCATCAGCAGGGCCCACCCTCTGAGTCAGAATAGGGGGAGCAAATGAGCCTTGAGTTTCCTTCTAATAGGTAAGTCAGGTGAGATGCAAGCATGTGAATGGTCCATGTGTACACGTGCTCAGTGAGGTTCAGTGAAAATGCTCGCTCTCAGATTTCTACTCCACATTCCCAATTTTTTGCGAGGGTTGGGGAAGGGGCACGTGTCGCTTGTGAGTCTGTACCTTGGTGCAAGAAGGGGAGCTAGGAGACACACCATATGTGTCACTGTGCCCTAGGCCGTCTATGGAAAGGATACCTCTTTTTATTTTTTTTTAGTTTATATTTATTGTTTTTCTTTACAAATGATTCCAATTATGTTGTGTTTTTTAAAATATGTTTTTATTGATTTCTGAGAGAGGAATGGAGAAGGAGAGAGATAGAAACATCAGTGATGAGAGTCATCTATCGTCTGCCTCCTACACGCCTCCTTTGGAGATCTAGCCTGTAACCCGGGCTTGTCCCCAGCCTGGGAATGGAACCGTGACCTCCAGGTTCATGGGTCTACGCTCAACCACAGAGTTGAACCAGCCGGGCAAGAGACCTTTTTTAAAATTTATTTTTCCATTACAGTTTACATTCAGTATTATTTTGTATTAGTTTCAGGTGTAGAGCATAGTGGTTAGACAATCATGTGCTTTACAAAGTGATGCCCCCATATTTCCAGTACACTCCTGGCACCATACATACATATTACAATATTATTGACTATATTCCCTATGCTGTACTTTACATCCCCATGACTATTTTGTAAGTATCAATCTGTACTTCTCAATCCCTTTACTTTTTTACCCAGTCCCCCACCCCTTCTCCTCTGGCAACTATCAGTCTGTTCTCTGTATCTATGAGTCTGTTTCTGTTTTGCTTTTTAATTTCTGTTCTTTAGATTCCACATATAAGTGAAATCAAATGGTATTTCTCTTTCCCTTTCTGACTTATTTCACTTAGCATAACACCCTCTAGGTCCATCCATGCTGTTGCAAATGGTAAGAATTCATTCTTGTTTATGCCCGAGTAATATTCCGTTGTATACATGTACCACCGCTTGTTTACACACTCGTCTATTAATGGGCACGTGGGTTGCTTCCATATCGAGGCTACTGTAAATGAGGCTGCAATGAACAGGGGTGCATATATTCTTTTGAATCAGTGTTTTGGGTAACTTCAGATATATACACAGAAATGGCAATGCTGGGTCATAAAGCAGTTCCATTTTTAATTTTTTGAGCAACGTCTATTCTGTTTTAAATAGTGAGTGCAGCAGTCTGCGTTCCCAGCAGCAGTGCCCGAGGGTTCCCTTTTCTTCTCATTCTCACCAACACTTGTTGTAAATTTATTGATGAAGCCATTCTGCCAGGTGATCTCTCATTGTGGTTATAGTGTGCATCTCTGATGATTAGCAACGTTGAGCATTTTCTCATATGTCTCTTGGCCATCTGTATGTCCTCTCTGGAGAAGTGTCTATTCTGGTCTACTGCCCATTTTTTAATGGGTTTGTTTGAGGGGTTTTTGGTGTTGAGTTGTATGAGGTCTTTGTAAATTTTGGATATTGACCCTTTATCAGATGTATTATTGGCAAATATCTTCATCCATTCAGTAGGTTGCCTTTCCGTTTTGTTGATGGTTTCCTTTGCTGTGAAAAACCTTTTAGTTTGTTGAAAGTCCCATGTGTTTATTTTTTGTTTGTTTCTCTTGCCCGAAGAGATATATCAGAAAAAATATTCCTAAGAGTAATGTCAGGGATTTTATTGCCCGTTTCTTTGAAAACTCAGTTATACACTTTTGAAAGTCGCTTATATATTTTTAGTTACCTGACTGAAAAATAATGGAGACATACCACAAACTATTGAAAGTTACTGTAAATCTTAACTTGAAGGTGCCATATCCTGTGATCCAGAGATAGCAGCACAGCCCCTTTGGGAGAGTAGGGGCTGTAGTGCATGTCTGTTGCACTCTTTCCCTTAGCACCTGGAGGAGTTTGTAGCACTTACCAGGTACTCAATAAATATTGTGAAATGTTTTCAAAATTTATTTTTTGGTCATTTTTCGGTATGTATATCTAAAATTCATCTTTTCCACCCTGCCGGGCGTGGCTCAGCGGTTGAGTGTCGACCTAGGATCCAGGCGATCAGGGTTCGATTCCCGGTCAGGGCACATGCCCGGGTTGCGGGCTCGATCAATGACTCTCTCATCGTTGATGTTTCTCTCTCTCTCTCTCCCTCTCCTTTCCTCTCTCTGAAATCAATAAAGATATATTAAAATTCATCTTTTCCTAGTACTAGATTCCTGGATTATAGTATACAAAAAATTTTTCTACATGTTGTTTATTGTTTTTTCATTTGGCTCTTTGCAGATTAGCATTTCTCTATGTCATGAGCATTTCTTAAAATCAGATTTTCTGACCTCAGACTGGTCACTTGACTACCTGGAGGCCATTTAACTTGTTGGTAACAGAATCAAGACAGATCCCAAGTCTTAAGGCTCTTTCCTTCATTCCATAAAAACTTCAATGGGACTTAAGTGAACAAGATGTAGCACAGAATGACCTTGGTAGAGAAAGTGCATCTTTTATTGTTGCTCCCTGGTTTCATTAGCTGTCAGTACATTGGGAGCCTTTCCAAAAGGAACCTGCCCTGAAGCATATTCACTTCATGGAACTTTGATTCTGCAACACATCCTTAAGTGATTTGATCCAGTGTTTAAAAACTGCATTCTCCCTAGCCTACTACCTTGGAGGGTTGATTTGGGTTATGTAGTAACGGGAAGGGTGGATAAAAGAACATGGACTAAGGGGCCCTGTGACCGACATGCTATAGGAATTGGGAACAGGGACATCTGACAATGAGTAGTGTGTATGAAGCAAGCCTGGTCTGACTGCAATGGTCTTTCTCTCCCCAAGTCCACATAATACTTCTAATGCTGCTTTGGAAGGCCTCTCACATAACTGGAAAAAGGCCAATATTTCTTATCAAAGTTTCCTTTTAAAGTATAGCATACACAAATAATTTGAACTCATTTATACTGAAAACTTCTTTACCATAGAGGTGTCCTTTGATTGGACATGCAGTTCTTCCCTAATACTTTCTTCCTGGAGTTCTCCTGCAGGGCCTTGCGTCAGAGCTTCACAGAACTCCCTCCCAGTTTCAGCTCTGCCAACCTTCCTGTTTTTGATCTTTAATTTTCTTTGCTTTCCGGGCCTGCTGTTTCCTTAGTTTTAAGAAGAAAGGTCAAGCTAAGTTGTTAGTTGAACAGGAGGGCACATCTAGGAAAGGGTGTGGTGAGAGAGCCCCTACTGCCACTACAAAAACTCCTCTTTTTTCTTGTGTGGATTGAAATTCATTCCCGGAAACGTTTATTTTACTTTCACAAAGAATATAATATCTCTTGGTCTACATGATTTCAAAGATTTCCTCTGTGCTCAGTCCCACAGACATAACAGGAGAAATGGAGAGGAATGAAATTATAAACATGAATAGATTGGGCCATCCTCAAGAGTACCAGACATTAAATGAGCTCTAAGCCTACATCCCCAATGCTGTCAAATTACTATACCTGTCCTTGTGGTAATGAAAACATTATCTGAAAGCCAAACTCACATCTTTTTTAAAGCTAAAGTAGTTTGGCTCCGTTATTCAAATGACTACACTGTATCCTGAGTTATATAAGTGCATGGATTTCAACATCACTAAAAAATGTAACTCTACATTCCAAGATGGCAGTGGATTAAATGGAAACTACACTGACACTCTCCCAGGACCAAACTGGAATTGTAACTAAATTATAGAAAAACCATTTTGAATAATCAACTGAAGACTAGCAGGATAGGACCCTCATAACCAAAGACGAAAAGTGAAGACTGCATAGAGTCTGGAAGGAAGTGCGGAGGCATGAGAGGACAGGCATTACTCCCACAGGCAACAACTGAAGGTCCTGAAAGATATCTCAGCTGTGGAGGTTTCCACTGACAACTCTGAGGACTAAACCCCAAGCTGGACTCCCCAGCCAAGAGCACCAGTACTGAGAAAGATGTCCATATAACATTTGGTTGTGAAAAACAGCAGGGGTTTCTGTCTGCCAAGAGAGATGACTGGAAATGCAAGCACCCTCTTAAAGGGCCAATGCACAAAGTTTCCTGTGCAGCCACTCACCTTGGGCTCTAGCAGAAAGAGGACAGAGTGGACTAAAGCTGTGTGAGGAGAATCCAGGGCTGGGGGCTAAGACGATAGCGCTCAGATTCCTATCCTGAGTCATTCCCCAATACTGCAGGAGACCTCTTTCTCAGGAGACCTTTATCATCCAGGCAGCTTTTGCCTAGGAGGTAAGCAACAATTGCCCCACCTTGTGGAATTTATGCCTTGCGGTGGTCTACAGCCTGAGGCTCAGTAAAAGATTAACAATTAGCCTGCAGACAAAAGCAAATACCTGTATGCTTTGAGTCTTTGACTGATTTGCTTCTGGACTGAGGGCTTGGAAAAGCAGACCTGGGTGCACTTCTTGGTCTTTTCCAAAAGCACCCAGCTCCAGCAGAGGGATCCACAAGTTGTGGAGTGTGGAAAGCTTCATATGGATTTTCAAGGCCAGTCACAGTGTCTGACATTGACCTGCAACAGAGACCCTCCAAAAAACTGTAAGTGCTGGACTGGAGTATGTCACTATGTGGTAGAAATAAAGATGGCATTAGAAAGCATAAAAAGCAGATTAGGGGAAATGAGGATCATATCAGTGAATTGAAAGACAGTAGAAAAAAATCACTCAACCAGAGATCCAAAAAGAAAAAACAATTTAAAAACAGGATAGTTTAAGGGAGCTGCAGGATAGCATGACTTGTAACAATATTCGTATCAGAGGACTGCTAAAAGATGTTGAAAGTAAGTAAGGGTTAGAAAACTTATTGGAAGAAATAATGGCAAAAAATTTCCCTAACCTGGTGAAGGAAAAAATGACACAATTCAAGATACACAGAGAGTCCCAAGCAAGAAGAAACCAAAGAGGCCCATGCCCAGACACATCATAATTAAAATGCCAAAAATTCAAGACAAATAGAGAATATTAAAGGCAGAAAGAGAAAAGCAATCTGTTACCTACAAAGGAGCTCCCACTACAGGCCAGAAGGGAATGGCATGAAGTATTCAAGGTAATGAAAAACAAGGATCTGAAACCCAAGACTTCTCTATCCAGCAAGGCTACATTCAAAATAGATGGTGAAATAAAGAGCTTTCCAGAGGAAAAAAAGGCTAAAGGAATTTACCACTACCAAACCAGCTTTGCAGGAAATGTTAAAGGGACTGCTATAATAAGTTGAAATAAAGAGAAAGAGAAATATATG